TGGGAATGTCAACTCATTGACCAACACTGTTGGCTTTCCCTTGGCAATCTTCAAGATGGGAATTGCTCAGCAGATGTTTTGTCTCCATTAAGTCATGAGCAGTCTGAGGACAGACAGTGTAACTTTTGAATGCCTGTATCCTAATGCACGAATGGATGGATGAAGGAATGTCACTGAGAATCAATGTAAAGATGCACAGGGAACATGGGACTGGAATTGAAGAGGCCTGGATTCTCGTCCAGCCTCCCTATTTGAACACCTTCGGGGATAAAGGGCTTATAACTTTTTGAAGCAATCAATTGAATTAAAATTGAATTAAGGTCCTTTTCTCTTTTATCACAGGGAATGGCCTGAGATAAAAAAAAAAAAAAAGGAGAGACAGGTTCCCACTCACGTAAGACCTCTCCCATAAGAAACAAGGGCATTGTTTGAGAGCAAAATTTCCCTTCATAAGCGAATACGCGGCAGAATACCTCACCAACTGTTAGGTGTTTTTGCCTTGACACCTACAACTGCAGCAATTACAGGAGCCACAGGTCACGCTCCAGTGCAGTGTGCTACCTTTTAAGAGTTGGAAATAACCTACCGTGAGATGTCAGGCTTTGGTCTGCTGACACTCAAAGGTCCGTCAGCCCTGCCGGTACATTTACAGTTGGGAAACTTTTTCATCTAAAAGTGCCCCAGTTTAAAAATGCCTTTTCAGCACAGCTTATTTTATTTCCTTTTCAGAATCCTTGACATAGAGTGACGAAACTGGAAGGAACTGTGAAGACCTCTCGGTCTGCCCATTTTACAGAGAGAAATGTGTCAAAAGTCCCACCCTTCATGTGTCTTTTCTTTGATTCCCCAACAATGGCATTAGGATGTCTTGGCCCACATTCCACTTCTTGCAAAGTTTATTTTCCTCCAAATTCTATTTCCCACTGACTTCAGGTGCCATGCCCCATTTCCTAGGAGAATTCTCTGTTTATTTTTAAAGTCTCTACTCATCATTGGGTAAGGAGAGGATCAGGGAACTAACCCGAATAGCCACCATGTTGATGGACAGCCCACCTTTATGGCGTCTATAGCTATTATAGAAATGACTTCAACAAGAAATGACACAGGAGAATCCAGAAACCCAGGATGTATTAAAAAAAAAAGTCTAAGAATACTTCTCTTTGAGAGGAGTGGGATGGAGTGGTGGAGTTGCAGAGCCCACCAGCTGTCCTTCACCAGCATCTCCAACTGATGCATTGGAGAAGTCCAGTCTTTTTGCACAGAATTGTGAAGCCAATTATTTGTTAATTCCCAAATCTAAAATGGAGCATATGAGCAGGTGATATACAAACTGCCTATTTAAGACACACTGTTTTAAAGAAAGTGGAGACTGTTGTATGAGGTACTTCCAATGCTTACCATAGTCTTATCTCTCCAGGGTATGTCTTGAAGATGAACAAGAGAACAGTCGCAATAATACCCTGAGATCTAGATAAATTGAAGGATTAAATGTGAAGGGTTAAACATTTGTGTTTTAATGGCAAAGGTGAAGATGGGAAATTCCAGTGTGGGCAGGAGTCTTTATAAGAAGGGAGCTTAGACAAACATATCATCTTAATGGGTTTCCGCACTTTGTTATTTTTTAAAATTTTTGAATCTAAGGGATGAAGATTTGATCACAGAATTCCTAGAATGAAAGAAAGATGATCAAGGGATATATAAACTCTCAGAATTTCCACAGTTCTGAGAAAGGTAACTTCAATAACGTGCTGTGTTGGCAACATCAGGAGAATTCTCTTTTTAACCACATCCCAGGACCCAGTAATATACAGAATAAAAACACCCAAGTTGACTAATACATCCCCCATAACCCATCACAATTTTAAATGGTGGCTTTGGAAATTTTCAGAATGAAAACCTGCCTTATGAATCAGCTAGAAATTGCATCTGTTGACAGTCTGTTTGATTTCATTAGAGAACTCTCACCCTGGAGGAATAGAGAGACTTGTTTAAGACCGGGTTCCTCTTAGAGGAAAAAGTCTGAAATAAGATTACTTCTTGACCTGGAGTGGTTCCTGAGTGATGTTGATCCCAGAAGCTCAATCCATTTCATTCTCTTTGGCCACCGGGTCCTTGCTGGCCTCTTGATTGCACTACCTTAAGAACCTCAGGCCCTGTCTCTGTGTACCTGATCTCCCTCCACTCTATGCCAGAGGCATCTCTGGAGAGCTCTGACTCTCTGCAGTGAACAGAAGAGAACAAGGCAGGGAGACCAGGATTGCACCCCAGCATGGTCTCTGCCTGTGTGATTCTGAGTTTGGGGTTCTTTGTCTAGAGGTTCATGATATCCACATTGCCAAGTGGTCATGAAGATTACAATAAAACTTATATGTCTGGCACATAGAAGTTACTCTATAAATGGTAATTTTTTGTTTTCTAGTAGTTCTTTATTGCCTACAAATGAAACTAAAAAATTTTAACTTGGATCATTCCTTTGACACCATCCTAACTTTTTCCAGTCTTTATTCCCAATATCCCCACATCTTCATCCAAAGTGTGGAGCATAGCGGACCACTTGCTGTCTCCTAATGCACTCCTGTGTCTTTGCTCATATGGTCCTCCCTGTCTGGAATCTCCACTTGTGGAAATTGACCAGTT